TAGTTGTATAAAATACATGTATTATTCTCACAATCTTATGTTACGCAGCCGAGAAACCTACAATGCGCTTACTAATTGGTTAACAGATGCCAGAATGCTCGCCAGCCAGAACATCGTCATCATCCTCTGCGGGAACAAGAAGGACCTGGACGCGGACCGGGAAGTGACTTTCTTAGAAGCCTCCAGATTCGCTCAAGAAAATGGCAAGTGACCTTTGACCTATGGCTGCTGCTCTGATGGCAGGTGTGGGGGTCATAGCATTGCTTTCAGCGTAAAATGGCTCCTGGGGTTTTAAGGTTGAACTATATTTAGGAAAAGTAGGTCTTCCAGTTGTTGACTACAGATTGAGACTTACTTAGCCTATTTTCACACTATTTCATCTGCCTAGACCAGTGGTTCTCAACCTGCGGGTCGCGACCCTTTGGGGGTCAAACGACCCTTTCACAGGGGTCGCCTAAGACCATCGGAAAACACATATATAATTACATATTGTTTTTGTGATTAATCACTATGCTTTAATTATGTTCAATTTGTAACAATGAAAATATATCCTGCATATCAGATATTTACATTACGATTCATAACAGTAGCAAAATTAGTCATGAAGTAGCAACGAAAATAATTTTATGGTTGGGGGTCACCACAACACGAGGAACTGTATTAAAGGGTCGCGGCATTAGGAAGGTTGAGAACCACTGGGCTAGACAGTTACTGTGACAATAAAAGCAAAGGTGTTAATGTTCTGCGATGACTTTCAGGCTAGGATCTTTACATGTTACAGGTCTTGGTTTAAAGTAAAATTGATAACAAAATTCTTAAAGGCTCTAATCAGATGATGTCATGTTTTTAATGTAGTTTGACACTAAGATGGTGAAGTATCAGATCACATCCATGTTTCTCTCCCTCCCTCCCTCCCACTCTGTCTGAAAAGCCATGGAAAAAACATACTAATGTGAGGATTTTAAAAAGATATAGAAAAACATCAGCCATCACCTATAATAATAAAAGCGTAATATGCTAATTAGACTGGACAGCCAAACGGCCTTCTGGACGAAGCCGGGACTGCGAGGGCCGAGGCCCTTGCACAAATTTCATGCATCGGGCCTCTAGTGAGTTCATAAAGAAGCTGGTTAGGAATATAGAGGCATAGACGTGGAGGCTCAGGGGGTTTAGGTGTCATCTAAAGGCACCTCCTTTCCCACGTGGGGAACTGTGGCCCCAGAGGCTGAGGTTCTGCAGGAGCTCGGGCCGCTGTCTGCTGGGCTGGGGCTGCTCTCTGCAGAAGTGGGAACTCGAGGAAGCCCTCCTCATGGTCAGAATGACAAGCTGCAGTGTAGCCCGCCCCCCCAAAAATGTAAACACTTGCATGTTATATCTGGGGTGACGTGAAGCTCATTGTTACATGTCTGTCTGCGCAGCCAGCCTGGGCCCACCTCGCATTGGCTTGCTCCTTCTCGCCCACAGATGGAGGTGCTGGTACCAGATGCCAGTGCTTCTCAGAAAAGGGTAGGCTGCTTCTAACATTTAAAAATGGATATTGACACTTACTGGTTTTATATTTACAGAGCTACATGGTTTTAAGTAATAAATGACAGTCCACCTGCTACTCGAGGGCAATACTAAACAGGCTCTTAGGAATTGGGGAATTCTGATCGTCTCCTAAACATGGCTGTGCATTTTGTCTCCTGTCCCTTTTAGAACTGATGTTTTTGGAAACGAGTGCCCTGACGGGGGAGAATGTGGAAGAGGCCTTTGTTCAGTGCGCAAGGAAAATCCTTAACAAAATCGAATCAGGTAACCTTTACTGGGCCGGGCTCCTTGGGCATGTGGGTTGTTGCCACAAATAACGCTGCGTGAATAACCTTTCATCAGTCATTTCACGCGTGTGAATGTCTGTGTAGGATCAGTTCCCAGGGGGACTTGCTGGTCAGGGACCCCCAGCTTCTGGGATGTAGGTAAAGGCCGCCACCTCCTGTCGGGGCTGCAGCAGCCTGCCCTCCCTCCCCACCACGGGCCATGAATGAGAGGCTCCTTCCACTGAGCCCTGCCTGGGGGTGTGGTCATACTTGGTGTCATTTTACCGGCCTGATGGGTGAAAAGGGATGTCTTTGTAGTTTAATTTTACATTAACTTACCTTTGTATGCATCATACAGTCACATGAATTCCTAATTCAACAACTACAAAGAAAGGGTACAGTGACAGGCCCCCCGCCTCCACTGCTGCCCGCCCGCCCCGCCGTCTGAAGTCAGCCATTGTTACCAGTTCTCTTGCCTTTCATACCTTTGTGCCCGTGCAAGTAAACGTGCCTGTATCTATGTTTTCCTCTTTATGAGAAACGGGTGTGTGTGCATGATAGATATTTGTTCCTGAATATATTTGGGGGTCACAGAAACAAAGACCTTTTTTAAAAGACTCGCTTGTTCCTCAGGTGAGCTGGACCCAGAACGGATGGGCTCAGGCATCCAGTACGGAGACGCGGCCTTGAGGCAGCTGCGCTTCGGCACGCCGCTCGCAGGGCCCGGGCGCTTCAAGGAGTGCGCTGCTAGACGCAGCTGAGGGCAGAGGTAAGTGCCCCGTCAGGGTCCCTGCTGGCCCCCCCTCCCCCCCGCCCCCTCGCACTCTGTTCACTGCCTGGGCTTCCCACACGTGTTTCACGCAGGGACTATTACATGCCTTTGCAGCTACATCTGGGAAGGAGAGGCGGTCGCATCATTAAGTGTTAGGTATTCTCAGGAGTGGAATACTTACTCTTCTCAGGCTCACATGGGACATTCACCAAAATAGACTACATTCTGGGCTATAAAACTCACATTAACGTATTTAAAAGAAAACAAACCATATAATGTCTATTCTCGGACCACAGGGAATAAACAGAAGGATAACTGGGAAATCCAAAATACATGGAAATTAAACAACATACTTCTGAATAACTTGTGTTAAAAAAGAAATCTCAAGAATTTTTTAAATATTTTAAGCAAAAAAATGTTTTAACCCAAATGAAAATCAAAACATAACATAAAAATTGGGGGGATGCAGCAAAAGCAGTGCTTAGAGGGAAATATATAGCATTGAATGCATATATTAAAAAAGAAAACCTAAATACAGTCCCCTATGTGTACAGAGAAAAGGAGGAAAAAAGAGCAAATTAAATCCAAAGCAGGCAGAAGAAATAAGAATTAGAACTGAAATTAAAACTAAAATCAGTACAGAAAAATCAACAAAACCAAAGCTAAAAGATTAATAAAATCAGTAAGCTTCTAACCAAGCTAAGAAAAAAAGATCGCAAATTACAAATATCAAAAGTGAAAAAAGAACATCACTAAGCAGATCCTATGGACATAAAAAGGAAAATAAAGGAAAACTCTGAACAGCTCTACATCCACAAATTTGATGACCTAAAAGGTGGTCGGCAAACTGTGGCTCGCGAGCTGCGGTTTGCCAACCACAGACCTAGATGAAATAGACCAATTCCTTGAAAGACTCAATTTGTCAAAACTCACACAAGAAGAAACAGACCATTAGAATAGGCCTACTAGTGTATCTATTAAAAAAAATTGAGCCAATGATTAAAACCTTCCAAAACAGAAAGCATCCGGCCCAGATGGGGTGAATTCTACCGAACATTTAAGGGAGAAATTACACGGATTTTCTACAGTCTCTTTCTTAGGGCATATGCAGAGGAAATGCTCCTTAACTCGTTCTATGCAGCCAGCATTGCCCTCATTCCTAAACCAAAGACATTACAAGAAAACGACAGACCAATATCTCGAACATAGATGCACAAATCCTCAAAAAAAAAAAAAAAAAGCAAATGAAATCCAACAGTGCATAAAAAGAACCACGTACCCTCTCAGTCGGGGCCATCCTGAGGCGCTCGATCAGGAGCGAAGGAGGGGGCGGGAGGTGCTGGGAGTATCAGTCTTCTGCCACCAGGTCGGTGAGGCGGCTTTCTGGGGTGAATTGAAGTCTAAATGAATGTGCCTGTTGCTAAAAGAGGAGGCTCATTTGTCAAATTCGCAAGTGGAGACTCTAACTTTATAAAATATGTTTTATGGATTTCAGAGAGAAAGGAAGAGGGAGGGAGGGAGGGAGGGAGGGAGAGAGAGAGAGAGAGAGAGAGAGAGAGAAACATCCATGATGAGAGAGAATCACTGATCGGCTGCCTCCTGCACGCCCCCCACTGGGGATCGAGCCTGCAACCTGGGCCTGTGCCCTGACCGGGAATTGAACTTGACCTCCTGGTTCATAAGTCGATGCTCAAGCACTGAGCCACACCAGCCAGAAGATTTTAACTTTGAAGCGTCCTCTTTTTCCCCATTTGCCACAGCGGACTTTTTACAGAGAGTCAACATTATCTAATAGGCATCCATTGAAATAAAAGTTGGAAGTATTCACTACTCCCTTTGGGGTTTTAAACTGCTTGTTTGTACATTGACAGTTATGCATATTTCTAAGTTGTTCTTCATATTTTTTAGGTGTTCGAACAGTGGTATTTGGGAAACAATTATTGGAGCTTGAAGAAGAAGTTTTTTTACCACCATCCTTTTCTACTTTATGCAGAAGTAGATCTTTGTGCGGGAAAAAAAAATGATTGGGTGTATGTAAGCCTGTAAATGTGCACAGCAAACCACGTGGTAAACCGAATTCCATGGACAATGCCATGATGTGTACATGTATGTAAACTGTCCTGAACCATGTTTCCCTTCCCCTGGGGTTAATCCTGGCTGTGTACTGTATATACTCGAGCCCGTGTCCCTACAGCATGGTATCTCATGTACGATATAATAGAATGTTACACTAACGGCGGTCCAATACTTTATTTTTTGTAATCATATGAACGAAAGCCTGCTGGTGTGAGTGCGCCTTGCCCATCGCGCTGGCTGTGTCGCACGGTGGGTGATGTTCGTGACCTGCTCGACTCGGCGGCGGTGGCCAAGGCAGTGCGGTTCATTCCATTTGCCGCGGCCCACGGGGCGTCTCGGGGCCTCGCTGGGAACGCTGCCCAGTAGTTGCTCACGTACCGAAATAAAGTCCAAGTGGAGTTTTCCTCCGAACCTGACTGTCCCGCACTCTGTTGATTTGAAAGCATCTCCGTCCGGGTCCACTCAGGAGGGAGGCCGGGTCCCTGCTGTTCTGGGCGCTGTGGCCACCCAGGCCCCGGGCCCTCACCAAACACCGGCAGCTGCTGCTGCTCAGCGAGGGTGACGGACAGTGGCCCCTGGGCCGCACACCTGCCCGCGCCGGGCCCCTGGTCCTCCTGCCGGAAACCACTCCTGGCTGCTGTGCTGCGCGGGGACTCGGGGCTCGGGCCTCACTGCCGCTTTCCAAGCCTGTTACTGTCCCGTGTTCCTTCTCAGGAAGCCACTCAATGGAGTCGCTATTAAAGGGATGCCACTGAGACACTCCGTGCGGTGTTGCTGAATCCTTCCAGCCTTAGTCATTAAGTCCACACGCGGTTAACTCACGTGAGGTTGACGATGTATGTGGTATTGCAAGGACTCGTTCTAATATTTTAAAACGTCAATGAAAAACACATATAAATAGAACCTTTCTTTCACACTGACACACAGCACGACCTGCAGCTGGAAAGGGAAAGGCATCTTCGCTCTGATGTGCTCTTCCACTGGGCTCTCTAGTTCCAGCTCCACGTCACCCTGCGGCTGCGGCTGCTTTGCTGTCTGGTTTGTTCGACAGCGAGCGGCAGTACCGCCCTGGGAGGTAACTGGCATAAAACATCCGTCTTAGCTCTTTCCCTTTTGCGTTTAAAAAGCCTGAGTATTTTACTCTGGAAAGTTAGAGCAGGAAGCCGGTTCTCAGACGGGGCTCACGGGCCAGTGCCTCGTCCTGGTCGCGTGCCGGCTGCGCCTGTGCACAGCTGCTCGCAGGCCCAGGAGCATGTCCATGCCCCTCGTCCTTCGTTCACAGGCAGGAGTTTTTAAAGAGAAGTGGGAGGCTGGTTTATAAGCGAGTCTGTTAGCGAAACCATAGGTACTGCTGATGCCTTCCACATCCTTTGACCAATAAAAGTTGCTGGATTCCAGCCCCTGGTAGTTCTCAGGGAAAGCATTGAGGGGAGGGAGGGGAGCTGAGGGGATTGGCCAGTGCAGGGCTCCCTGGCACCGCCAGCCAATCCTGGCTCCTGACACCAGGGGCGTGTCCTGCAATGATTCAGTTCCCACGCTGTCCACCTGGGGGCAGCATCGGACCCCACAGGTTGAGGGCTTAGTCTGCCCCACAGGCACAATGTCAGGGGCCAACCACAAGCATCCAGGTAGTTCCCTGTGCTGATCACCTGGCCATAATCCGCATTCCCACACCCCCTCCTTGGGTGCAGCTCGCAGCGGTTCTCAACCTGTGGGTCGCAACCCCTTTGGCGGTCGAACGACCCTTTCACACGGGTCGCCTAAGACCATCCTGCCAGATATTTACATGATGATTCATAACAGTAGCAACATGACAGTGATAAAGTAGCAACGAAAATAATTTTATGGTTGGGTCACAACATGAGGAACTATTTAAAGGGCCAGAAGGTTGAGAACCACTGAGCTAGAGCGGCGTGGCTCGGTGGTTGAGCGTCCACCTGTGAACCAGGTCACGGTTCGATTCCCAGTCAGGGCACAGGCCCAGGTTGCAGGCTCCATCCCCAGTGGGGGGCGTGCAGAGGCAGCCGATCCCTGGTTCTCTCTCATCATTGATGTTTCTCTCTCTCCCTCTCCCTCCCTGAAATCAATAAACATATTTTTAAAAAGGGAGCCGTTTATTCTATAAGCAGCAGCCGCACATGAAGCAGCCGCACGGGAACCCCTGGGACATCAGGAAAGTGGGGCGGGGGGTGCCCTCCTCGGAAGGCGTGGGGAGCAGCAGCCTGGCCTACTTAGCCAGGGCCCAGGTCCTGCGGCAAAGACCTGATGGGCTTCAGCTGCTTTCACTGTCGGCTTAACAGGCTTGTTAACATGTTACTCCTTCGAAAACCTGAGTCTTTTTTATATATGCAAATTCGGCTATTTTATTTATTTACTCCTCATTCAAGGATTTTCTTACTGATTTTAGAGAGAGGAAAGAGAGAGAGAAAAGGGGGAGAGCAATGTGAGAGAAACATCGACCAGTTGCCTCCCGTACATGCCCCCACCTGGGACTGAACCCGCAACCTTCTGGCATAAGGTACAACGCCCCCACCCACGGAGGCACCCGGCCAGGGGGAAAGGGTCAGTCTTTTTAGTGAAATTTCAGGGTTTTTATACCTTCCTACCCCAAAAGCTCAGCACTTGAAATACGGTAATATTCACAGCGCCCTCCCAGCCAGGTTCAAGACCTGGCCAGGTGCAGCCTGCTCCCACCCCCACCCCCACCCCCACCCCCGGGCCCCAGTCTGGCTTAAGAATCACCAGTTTGGAATCTTCAGGCGGGTGGGGGAGGGCATAGGGAGAGTGGGAATGTCGTTTATGTTTGTTCCTTGTTTTCTCTAGATTTTAAAAGACAACTAATACAGCCTATGCCTCCGGGAAATCAGGAAAACGGGTCACTTACCGGATTGATGGCTTATTCTAAGAGGCAGGAGCTCAGGAATCGTCCGACGACGAGGAGATGCGCAGGGCAAGGTGTGGGCGAGCACAGAGCCTCCGCGCCCCTCTCCAGGGCACCTCGCTCCCCAACCTCCGCTGTGTCTACCACCCAGCTCTGTGCCCAACACCAACCTCCAGCCCCTGTTCCCGCCCCGGAAGTGGGAGGGCAGGAATGAAAGCCCCACCCTCCAATCACAGGCTGGCTCCCAGGCTTCCAGCCCATCCTCAGGTGTATCCATGCATCACCGCATTAGCATACACAGGTGTGTTGGAAAGGGCTGTTGCAGGAATGGAGAGCAAGCGACCAAACACTGTATCTACTGCTCTTTCTTCATTCCCAGGGTTCCAGACTTCCTCCTGGTATTCTCTCTCTTTTGTCTAAATGGCATCCTTGCCTGGCCGGCTTGGCTCAGTGGTTGAGTGTTGACCAATGAACCAGGAGATCAGGGTTCGATTCCCAGTCAGGGCACCTGCCAGGGTTGCCAGCTTGATCCCCAGCCGATCAATGATTCTCATCATTGATGTTTCCATCTCTCCCTCTCCCTTCCTCTCTGAAACCAATAAAATTTTTTTAAAAGAACATCCTCAGCTATTCCTTGAAAGCAGCTCATCTGGCTGTCAGTTCTCCACGTTTCCTTTACCTGGTCGGGTTCCTGAGGGATGTTTCACTGGGTATAGAATTCTGAGTTGACAGTTACTTGCTTTCAGCACTTTGCATGTGCCACGTCCTCCTGGCCTCCTTAGATATACAAACTCACTGTCGTTTGAAACATCGTTTCGCTGTAGGTAATCTTTCCTTTTCCTCTAGTTGTGTTCACAATGCCCTTTGGTTTTCAACCGTTTGCGATGGTCCTGGGGGTGCTGGGAAGTCTCCCGTTCACTCCGCTTGCTCGGGCGGTTTCCTCCACCAGGTTTGGGCCACAGGTTCTGTGGGTGTTGGTTCCCATGTCAGTTCAGCTTTCACAGCCCAGTGCTATGGAGATCAGTCCCAGCTGTCCCCCAGGGGGTCAGCCCAGACGCCAGCTCAGGCCTCCTGGGTCTGCTATGCTAATTAGGACCAGCTCCACGGGTGACAGGTGTGAGCAGGTGAGCGGGGCAGGGGCGAACCTGGGTTCACAGATAACTTGGTGGAGCTACTTTCCTGAGCTCGTCCCTCTCTGCTCTCTCTCCACTAGCTGGTTCCTTGAGACTCCCCGTTACTGGGCCTTCAGCCCCAAAATGCCCACTTTTGTCACTGAGCCATGTTTTTCAGAGAAAAAAAAAGCACCTGGCTCAGCCTCACCCTCTTCAGTGAAGGAAGTTCCTGCCTCGGACCCGGGCTCCTGCAGGCTCCCCTTGGCAGCCACGGGGTGAGCTGCCACAACCCGGCACCTCTGAGGCCACTTCTGCACTGTATTCAGGCTGGGAGATACCAAGCCATTTTTTAAGAAGATTTTTTAATTAATTAATTTTTAAAATATATGTTTATTGGTTTCAGAGAGGAAGGGAGAGGGAGAGAGAGAGAGGAACATCCATGATGAGAGAGAATCATGGATTGGCTGCCTCCTGCACGCCCCACACGAGGGATCGAGCCCCCAACATGTCCGGCAATCGAACCGTGACCTCCTGGTTCATAGATCGACGCTCAACCACTGAGGCACGGATAGTTCGACTCAACACACGTAGAAAGTATCGAACGCATCTTGCTAAACCTTTCTCTGATGACACACCCATCGAGGCGTCGATGTGACCGCCCGAGTTCTTCAACCGCGGACGTGCTCACCAGAATCCGTCCCCACAAAGCAGACGTTCCAGCGGATCACAGTCACTCACTTTATTCACATTTTTTTCCAAGTCACTGCAATATTCAATAGAAGCAAAAAGCAATACATGGATCTTAGAAAAGGCAGCCCCCACCCCCAGGGCCTGAGCGGTGAGGCTGTAAGCGCCCGGGCGCTGTTCCCGCGGAATGGTACTGAACGCAGTGCTCACACTGAACTTACCACACGGGAGTTCTGCTAATTATTATTATTATTTTTAATCCAAAAAGAAGCTCCTAATGTCTTCCTTCAGGTGTCCTGCCTGAAGGAACACCTTCATTCGGGTGTTCCCACCTCCCACTTCCGGCTGGCGGGGACAGATTGGGCTGGAAACCTACACGCAGCTCCTGGCACAGAATTCGCTATGAAGCGCACACACCCTGACCCCCAAGAACCCCCACTTCCTCCGATTGCGCAAACACCCACTTCTCATGCTAACATCCTGAAGTGGCCGGCTCACATTTTCCGGGACCACTTTTAAAATATTCAACAATCGCAACACGACTGCAAGGACCTTCTGAGTCAGGGGTTAGAGGTTTGGTCCCCAACCAACGCAGAACCAGGCTTTAGCAACCGTAGCACCATTTTAAATCGAGTCCAGTGACGTGTAAAATGATCCACTAAACAATTTTTTGACCGAAGCCGTCAACAAGAAAAGTCTTTACTTCTAACATAGCCTTCACCTCACTCCCTCTTCACCAGTAATACTTTGGAAAGTTTTAAGGATCAGGCACTGTAACCCTCCACATACAAAATCTCTGCCCAGGAGAACATTATCAATTTAAAGGAGAGAAATACCCTAGAGTTGTTGTTTTTTGTAAACCTACAAATTGTGCAGTATTCTGGTTTTGTTGTGTGTTTTTTTTAATATATATTTTTTATTGATTTCAGAGAGGAAGGGAGAGGGAGAGATAGAAACATCCATGATGAGAGCGAATCATGGATCGGCTGCCTCCTGCACGCCCCACACTGGGGATCGAGCCCGCAACCCGGAATGGAACAGAGACCTCCTGGTTCACAGGTCAACGTTCAACCACTGAGCCACACTGGCTGGGCCAGTGTTCTGTTTTGGATGTTATGGTTTCCAATAACCCAAACAGCCACCATTCTTCCAGGGGACTTAGTTACCTGAGTTTCCCAGCATAAAAGTAACAAAGCTATCTAATATTAATAAAAGGCCTTGGCCGAAACACCGTAACGCCTTAACGACCAAAGACCGGCGCGGGTGGGCGGGGCTGCGCGATTTCGCGCGCTGGGCTTCTAGTTACATATAAAGTGGCATAAGTAAGTGCCCACTATAAGATGAGCCATTAAGAGAATTCCTTTATAAACTTTTAAAAATGTTTCTATGTGCTCAGGAATTTTACGGGGAGGGGTGGCACCCACATACCCAGAGGTACCAAGTGAGAGTCATCTTTCAGGTTTTTTAAAAAAAATGAAAAGAATGAATTCCATCTTACTTCTCATTCACCTAGGTCCAGCGAGTGCCAATGTGAAGCCTTTGGCTTCTCTTAATAACAGTAACACAGAAACTTGGCAAATTGTTTTAATTCCGAGCTTAAAGCCAACATTTTGAAAGTCTATGTAGCAATGATTTTATTCCATCGTTTAAATATCCCTGGATTCTCGAGCAGTTTCAAACTTTGCACCATGAAAGGGGATTTTACACTACCTGCTTGTCTCGCAAGTCGGCCCAAGACTTGAGAACATGATTACATATTCGTTTCTAGACCATCAAATCGTTACAACTTAAAACATTTCATAGGCTCAAACGTTAACTTGAAACCTTAATGACTGGGACACAGGAGGGGGGTCTCACAATTCATTTGTGTGGATCTACTCATTGTTCATGCACATTAAAATTACTTTAAAAATCTTGGTCATTTGTCCTTTATTTAAAAAAGGGGGGGTGGGCCTAGCTGGTTTGTCTCAGTGGATAGAGCATCGGCCTGTGGACTGAAGGGTACGGGGGTTTAATTCCGGTCAAGGGCACGTACCTCGGTTGCAGGCTCCTCCCCGGCCCGGGCCCTGGTCAGGGCATGTGCAGGAAGCAACCAATTGATGTCTCTCTCACATCGATGTTTCTCTCTGTCCTTCCCTCTCCCTTCCGCTCTCTCTAAAAATTAATGGGAAAATATCCTCGGGGGAGGAGAAGAAGGCGGGAAATGGCCAGTATCGCTGACTAGGTTTTCCCAGATCTCCCTGGAGCTGTCAGGAGTAAACTCATTAAATGTGGGTGTTTCCTGAAGGAAGGAGTGTGGCTTATTGAAAGCCTGGAGGAAGCTGGGTCTCTTTAAAAAAAAAAATGTTTTTATTAATTTCAGAGAGGAAGGGAGAGGGAGAGAGAGAGACACATCCATGATGAGAGAGAACCATGGATCGGCCGCCTCCTGCACGCCCCACACTGGGGATGGAGCCTGCAACCGGGAATCAAACTGTGACCTTCTGGTTCATAGGTCGATGCTCACCCACTGAGCCACACTGGCCGGGCGGGAAGCTGGGTTTCTAAGGCAGTCTGTCGGGGTGGGGAGTTGGGGGGGTGGGAGGCATCTCTTCCCTAAGATTGTCAGTTGCAACATAAGCACTTGGGCGGAATGGCTAACCCCGAACCCGGACAGCAGGGGGTGGCTTGACCATCGGCGACACCACACCGACCACGCTGATTCCCCTCTCAGGTCCTTGCAGGGTCTCAGGGCTTTAACGGCCACAGCAAGAGCGACCAGCACCCCTCGCAGGGCCGCGCCGGACCCCAGGAGCCTCCTCCTGTTCAATTCACACCTCACTGAGCAGGAGCGCTCTCCGCCCGGTGACTCCCCTCAAAACGCCGCACACCGGCTTCAAAGTCTTTTTTAAAAAATAAATAAAAGCTCCTGGCCCTTCTGTAGGAGTTTCCAAAGCTTAACACCATTGTCAGTCGACATCATCATGTGAAGATTTCATGTGGAATAAGACACACTTGTGTTCTAAAGAGCATCATCCTGTAAAGACCCAGAGGAGAGAAGTACCAGGGAAACGCTCCACCTCGCACCCAACACCAGCTTCGCCTTCACACCCTCCAGGCGCCCGGCTGGCCAGGCACACGTCTCCCCTCGTCCACGGGATTCAGCACCTCCTTCCCGTAGACGCTCCGCCGGGTGGGAACCAGGGTTTCTTAAAACCACTCTTTCTTCCCCAAAAGCAAGTGGACTGCGAGACGGAGCCCTTCATCCCTACACAGCCTCCCACGTGCACCCACACACAGTTCTGCATGGGACCTGCTGGCTAGGAATGGATTCCAACCGGAGCCTGCATGTGCCCACGGTCACGCTTGGCCATCGGTGAGCTCCGTGGAGGGAAAAGTCGAGAAGTTCGGGGGGCACCTGGCTCACGGCCCCTCACCCCCCACGAGCAAGCAAGACCGGCTCGGTTTGCTCCCTGGGATTCCAGGCCGTCCTGAATGCCACGGTCACAGGAGAGAGGGTCCGCCGGCGCGTGTGCCCGCCGCACGGACCGGTTCCTCACCAGACGCTCCAGGAAAATCGCACAATAAAAAAGAAAAATGACACCACGGTCTGACTCCCAGGACACGCCCGCGTCCGCTCCGCACCCTGGAACGCATCTGACCTGCGAAATGACAGGTGCCCACGCGGTGGCTTGAGGAGGACAGAGGACCGTCCCCGAGCCCAGGAAGCTCGTCGCGATCACAGCCGCCTGCAGCGCTGACCCGAAACACAACGCAGGTCCCAGCTGCGTGACACGCGGATCCACGTTCGTGCCGAGACTCCCGTGGACGTGACACTGGCTCACGCAGCTGCGGGCCAGGACCGGAGTCTGATGCCGACGACGGAAGGATCGACCGTGGAATCTGGAAAAGCTGTTCAGGCCGGGACGAATGCCCCAAACTCCCGGGAAAAAATACCGACTATGAAGCATCTCTAGCCATTTTAAAGGCATTGGGTGTCGACGTCTGAAAAGATTAAGATGCTCTGAGACGAAACCCTCACAGGGAGAGCAAAGACGTAGGGAGTTCTCTTGTCAAGAAGCAAACGTCGATGGCTTCGCGGTCGCCTGCTGCCCGGGCCGGGGCCCGGGGCGCCCCCAAAGGGCAGCATCGCTTGGGAACCCCCTAAGGAACCTGGCACCAGGGGCTGGTTTCTCACACCCACGTCCTGGTCCTTCTGATGTTGGCGGTTTGGATAGTTTGTTCTCTTTTATTGATGCTTCTCAAGGAGGCGGTGCCGGCGGCCTCCCCGTCACGCGCGGGCCGAGTAGCATCGCATGTATTCGGTGACCCACGGGCTCTCCGAGGCGGCCGGCTTGGCCCTCCGGCTCTTCTCCACGTCCACCGAGTGCGCCCGCTGCCTCTGAGCCACCAGCCGCCTCTTTTCCACCTGCCTCCTGTTCTTGGCCCGTAACGCCGACTCGTGAATCTAAGGAGAGTTCATAAAGGGAAAGTAGAAATAACGTCAGCGGCTTTTCGAACAGATTTGCAAGGATATCTGAATGTTTAATATTTAAATTTTAAACATTTAATATTTGCAAGGATAACTTAAGTGGCTTTGGAACTATTTGTGCCCGGCCGGTGTGGCTCAGTGGTTGAGCATCATTGGACCCACGAACCAAGAGGTCCCCAGTTCGGTTCCCAGTCAGGGCACATGCCTGGGCTGTAGGCTCGATCCCCACTGGGGGGCGTGCAGGAGGCAGCCAATCAATGTTTCTCTCTCATCGATATTTCTATCTATCCCTCTCCCTTCCTCTCTAAAAATCAACAACATATTTTTTTTAAAAAATATTTACAATGAGGTCGCCAGAAGCGGGCAGAGGCACGCCCAGACCCCCCACCCCCACTCTCAGCACAGAAGTCAGTCCCCCTGGCCTGCATGACGTGCCCACGCACCTGCAAATGTCCACTGGACTGACCTCCAGACGTAAATGGTGAGCCGCCCATTGGCATGAGTCTCTAGAAATGGGCTCTGGAAAATTACTGGATCCGCTTAGCATTCAGCCTGGGCACATATTCCATTAAAGGACTTGAAATGTTTTACAGCAAAACAGTTAAAAAGAAAAAAAAATCCTCCGGGGATTTTGCCACCTTGGACATTTGATGCCACAGATAAACCTGGTTAAACCTCACCCCAGGGACCGGGCGGTCTTTGTTAAACACCAGCTCTGTTGTCTCAAATATCCCTCTAGCTCACGCCATCTGCCAGGGTTTAGAAGGCTGTTCGGTAAAAATGTGATTAGGCTATTTAATCAGAATTCAAACCTTCTGCGCTTTCTCCTTCTGCTTCTTTTTTTTAAAATATATTTTTTTATTTATTTCGAAGGGAGAGGGAGAAAGAGAAACATCAATGATGAGAATCATGGATCGGCTGCCTCCTGCACGCCCCCTACTGGGAATCCAGCCCGCAACCTGGGCATGTGCCCTTGACTGGAATCGAACCCGGGACCCTTCAGTCCGCAGGCCGACACTCTATCCACTGAGCCAAACCGGCCAGGGCTCCTTCTGCTTCCTTCCATTCATTCCTTGCTTCAGGCTGCAGTCATAATGCGAACCTGGGTCACTGCTTTGTGGCTCTGCACGCGAGGGCCCTCCCCTCCGACACGCTCTCAGGATGTGGAACAGGGACAGGGAGGCCTCAGGTGGGGGATCAAGAGGCACCCCTTGTCTGAGCAGGGGAAACACCACCCACCATTCGCATCCACTCCCAGGAGCAAAGGGCGACCTCGCGGACAAACCAGTGACAAAGGAGCCGAGGGGACACCAGGCAGCCCAGCCGAAGGGCCTGGCGACCTCCCCAGGCGCCCGCGGCCAATCCGGACGGGCAGCCGCCAGCCCTGTGTGCCCCTCTGCACACCCCCTGGACTCTACCCACTCCCCCCAGGCTCTGTGCTGTAAACCCTTGCAGGCACCCCCGGCCTCCTGGCAGAACCCCCGGTCCCCAGGCAGCTGGCACCCCGAATCCTCCCGCTGGCTCCTCAGATGCCCTTGGCGCCGTACCAGCCCCTCAGATCTGCACGGCCCCTCAGAGCAGCCCAGGGACCACAGGGGGGGCCACCCAATGAGGGGCAGGCAGTTGTGTTTCAGCTCCAGGACCAGAGAAGCCAGGCCACCAGCCACGGCGGACGTCGGGGCCAGTGCGTGGAGGAAGGACCCCTGCCCTGGTCCGGCCAGTCCATCCGTGGACACCACAGGCCTGAATGGACACCCCTGGGAAGCTGCTGAGTGTTCTACTGAGAGCTCCCCCTGGAGCCCCCCTAAAGCCTCCGCCCTTAAAGCTATTCGGATGGCCCGGCCGGCGTGGCTCAGTGGTTGAGCGTCAACCTATGTATATAACCAGGAGATCACAGTTGGATTCCCGGTCAGGGCACATGCCCGGGTTGCGGGCTGGATCCCCAGTGCGGGGCGTGAAGAAGGCAGCCGATCAGTGATTCTCTCTCATCATGGATGTTTCCATCTCTCTCTCTCCCTCTCCCTCCCTCTCTGAAATCAATAAAAAATATAGTTAAAAAATAAAAATAAATAATAAAACATTTAGGATGGAGGACCCAGCCCACTGTCCCTCCAAGGAGCTCACCTGTGCCTTCCCTTCCCCCTCCCCCTCCCTCTAAGGGGTAACTAAGAGGCGGGCTGCACGCTCACCACACACACACACACACACACACACGCACGCACACACACACGCACATGCACACACACGCATACACACGCACACACACACATATACACACGCACACACACGCACACACGCACGCACACGCACCTCGTGCACGGGCGCGGAAGCACAGACGTTGTGTGTTCTTTGGCTCCCTGTGTCCGTCTGCCGCTCCCCCCACCCGTACAGGGCGAAGGGATGCTTCCTTTCTCTCGTTTTACTGGACGATCTCTGAGGACTTCTGAGCGCTTTCCTGCTGCCTCTGGCGAACAGGGCGCTGGGATGCTGGCGCGGTTGCGTGGCGCGGTTTGGTTGCGCCGGGCAGGCGGTCCGTGCCTGTCCCTGCCGCTCCGATCTCCTCTTCAGGTTTCTCCTTCACGCCTTTTCCTGGGGACACTTTTTCAAAGAGAAGACAACACAAGAGGAAGACGCTTTAAAAATCCGTGTTGCGAATAGTTCCTTTAACTCAGAGGTTCTCAACCTGTGGGTCGCGACCCCTTTGGGGGTCGAACGACCCTTTCACAGGGGTCACCTAAGACCATCGGAAAACACATATAATTACATATTGTTTTGTGATTCATCACTATGCTTTCATGATGTTCAATTTGTAACAATGAAATTGGGGGTCACCCCAACATGAGGAGCTGTATGAAAGGGTCGTGGCATGAGGAAGGTTGAGAACCGCTGCTTTAACTAGTTGGGCTGAAGGATACATTATGTTTCATTGAGTCAGGAACGTGTTCACCGATCCCTCCATTCGCATGTTTCGCTTAAAGCAGAAATGCCTAAACAAGCAAGCGTGACTCCTTTCAAACCAGCGGCCCCATTTTTACCTTATTTACTTTTTTTTTCTTTTAAAGAATAGTTTATTGATTTTGAGAGCGAGAGGGAGAAGAGAGAAACATTGATGAGAGTGAACCATCCATTGGCTGCCTCCTGCATGCCCCCCACTGGGGACCGAGCCAGCCACCCTGGCACGTGCCCTGACCGGGAATCGAACCGGCGACCTTGCCGTGCCTGGGACGACACCCAACCAGCTGAGCCACACCGACCAGGGCCGACCCCATTTTTAAATCAACAACAAACAGAGCAAGGCTGAGCCAAGCCTATTCAAAGGCAGCTACTGTCACTCAGATTCTGAGACTAAATATTAAAAGTAAGAGATCACTTCCCCAGGTGGCATGGCTCAGCAGAGGAGCGTTGACGTGTGAACCAGAAGGTCACCGTTTAATTCCCAGTTAGGGTATGTGCCCCTGTTGTGGGCTCCATCCCCAGCAGGGGGCGTGCAGGAGGCAGCCAACCCATGATGCTCTCTCTTCATTGATATTTCTCTCTCTCTCACACCCTCTCTCCCTTCCTCTCTGAAATCAATTTAAATTTTTTTAAGTAAAGGATCTCTTCGGCCTAAGGGCTTTCTCCAAACTCCCAAGACAAATCCCCGGTCTCGATGCCCAGCTCCAGGGAGAATCCGGATTTGTGAATCACTCGAGCTCCCGGCTCCCATCACTCCCGATGTTCCACACTCTGGACAAGGCTGCGCGTGGCTCTGACACGCTCCTGGGAAGAGGTAGCTGGTGACCTCAACCTGACAGGCCCATCACAATAGGCTGTGGTTTCCATGGTTACCCACCTGGTGCACAGCCCCACATCCCCAGGGTGAAGAGCTAGAGACATGGGAGCCGTGTGTTAAGGGGCTGGCCCTCCATTTGCATCAGAAATGCCCCCGTGACCACAGGCCACACGTCCCCCACACCCCGCTCTGTCGGCAGAGCCGGGGACCGGTGGGACGGCCTGCCCGCCCTGCGGTGAACACTCCAAAGCACGACCATCTCCCCTCATGGCCTTTCGTGGTTCTGCCGTCAGCGCTGTTTATAAACCCCCTGTTTTGTGTAAACCCTTTGTGAGCCTTCGTTCCCTGGCAGCCTACCCTTCCCTCCAAATAAGGGCTCCTCTGCATCCAGGCCACGCCTCCCAGTCGTGGGTCTGAAGGGTCCCCCCTGCTCTGGAGGCTCCAGAATTGGGCGCGAGTGAGGATTTGCTGATTGCTCTTCCCAAATCTCTTCGCCTTTTAAAGACATACTCTTCCTCCTTCCCACTTTCACTTGCTTCTGTCCACATTCCCTTTTATAACATTTATATATTTTTTTAATTGATTTCAGAGAGGAAGGGAGAGAGAGATAGAAACATCCATGATGAGAGAGAATCATGGATCGGCTGCCTCCTGCATGCTCCCCACTGGGGATGGAGCCCACAACCCGGGCCTGTGCCCTGACCGGGAATCGAACCGTGACCTCCTGGTTCACAGGTGGACGCTCAACCACTGAGCCACGCCGGCCGGGCTCCGTGTTCCCTTTAAAGTACAGTGAGCCCTGCACGGGCAGTCCAACTCAGGGGCCTTGATAGATCACCTGTCATGCCTATCGACAATGACCTTGACTCTACCAAAGTGAACATCCAACTAAGTAATTCAGAGAGACAGAGAGAGAGAGAGAGAGAGGGAGAGAGAGAGAGAGAGAACAACGCAAGAAACCTTCCCAGAATTACAAAACACTAGTTCCACTAGAAGAGAGAAGAGGCCAACAGTTTCCCAAGCAGGGGAGGTGCCATCTACAACAGAACAAGGATCAGACTGAGCCGAAACTGTACCGGCTACATCACAAGTTACACCCCCGCCCGGCGATGCCTCCAGATACTGAGACAACTCCTTCCATCCCAGCATTCCCTGCCCAGCCACCACCTCGCTGAACTGTGAGGGGAGAAGAGGGCTATCCTTCAACATGCAAGGTCTCGGAAGACGAACCTCTCACACCGCCTTTCTCAGGAAGCTACCAGGAGGAGCTCAACCAGGAAAGAAGACGCCGGGGAAGCCACACAACGAGGCTCCCACCCGGCCAGAAGGCCAGGAGTCCCGGGCGTGGCCACGGGCCCCTCCCAAGGCACCACCCGCTGCCGCCGCCGCCAAGAGCAGCCACCGG